CAGGGTACCTTTTCATTCACACAGGGATCCTTTTGAGAGCCAGGGTGGGGAGGTGTGTGCTATTACTAGTTATGATAATAGAATAGGTATAAACCCTGAAACATATGGTCACCCTGATGTTAAGCAAATTGTGACTAGTAGGGCAGCAGTGGTAATGATGTGGAGCAGTAGTGGTTGCTCCTCCAAACCTATTCCCATTCTGCGGGTAACTCAGCTTTCTGTGCTGTGGCCTTACTGTGGAGAAGAGAGGTCTCTCATAGTTTCCCTTTGGGGACTTCTCACCAAGGGAGAGGGGCCCTGAGTCCCAGAGTCACAGACAGAATGGAGCCTAGAAACTTCCATTTCCAGAGGGCCATTGGCTTTTTTGTCCTCTGTATTCTGCTTCCCCTGATGATAATGGGAAGGGTCAGAGAGTTCCATGTCTACCCTTCAGAGCCACAAACCGGAGGGAAGTGGAGAGCCGGAACTCAAGCCTCGAGTCCAGTGAAGCACGTCAGAAATTTGCAGGAGCCAAAGCCATCTCTTCCGATATGTTTTTTGGGCGGGAGGTGGATGCTGAGGTAAGTGGAGCTGTCTGCCCTGAGGCTGGAGGCAGCAGGTAGAAGCAAGAGCTTTCTTCCTGCCACCACTTTGGGCTTTAGCACCAAGGTGGCTTGGGCTTCTATGAGTCCTTGGATTCTTGGCCAAATATCCCCAGGCTTTTGCCTTTTCCTCACTACAGTATGAAGCCAGGTCTCGGCTACAGCAGCTCTCAGGCAGCAGTGCCATCAGCTCTTCAGACCTCTTTGGGGACATAGATGGAGCTCATGGAGCAGGTATGGCCACAGAGGAGTGGGAGGTACCAGACTATGCCTGTCTGCAGAGTGGGAAGCCCCTGCCAGGCTCTGGGTCACCTTTTCCCTTGCTTTTACAGGAAGTGTATCTCTGGGGAATGTGCTCCCTACAGCTGACATTGCCCAGTTTAAGCAGGGTGTTAAGTCTGTGGCTGGGAAAATGGCTGTGCTGGCCAACGGTGTGATGAATTCACTGCAGGTGAGGCTGAGGTTGTCTAACTTGGGGAGGGGCCCACCCAGTAGTGCTTGGAGGTTTGCCTTCACCACCACATTTAGACATTGCTTAGGGGTATCCTCTCAGAGCTTAAAGAGCATTTTCTTTTCTGAAAGAGGCAGCTTCCTTCCCTTGAGCTGCGTACCAGGGCTGTTCTCCCTCCCTAGCTTCTGTGAGGTCTGGCAGTGCCTCCTCCTTGATTGGGGCCCAAGTGCCCCCTGTCTTAGCTCTCACTGTTTATTCCCACCTTGTGGTGGTGCCCAGCCCCGTGTCTTGGCCTTGCTAGGGGGTGTGGGTTGGGGAGAGGCAGTGAGCTTGCAGGAAACTGCAGGTTACAGACTCTGACTTCATTTGTTTTCCCTACCCCCCTCCAGGATCGCTATGGTTCCTACTGATGCAAGCTTCGTGGCTCAGGTGTATGGTGGTGACAGCAGCCAGACCCCGTGAATCCCAGGCCAGGGATGCTTGCCTTCAGGAAGCTGGGGAGGATTTGTTACTTTCTATGTGTGGTGTTAGAGTGGGTGGCCTTTGAGGATCTTGGGTGAGGGGAATGGTCAGTATCAGCCCTTGTCCTCTGCCTGTGGATTGAGCCCTTTGTTCTCTTGCCCTCGTACCCCCTCCTCTGTGTGAAATTACTGTCCTATTTCTGCCCCCAAAGCTGCTGCTCACTTGTCCCTGCCACACTGGGAGTGAGGGGAGGCGGTTCCCATGGAATGGCTTAGTCTGGTCCAGTATTTCCCCAAGTAGGGAAAGTGAAACTTGTAAAGTGCTTTTGCTGGATCCTTCCAGGTATTCTAAGGGCTTCGGCCTCTGACTTCTGAAACGAGGGGGAGGTCTAGAAAGAGCTCTGCTGTAGACCAACGCCCCCCAGGGGAGAGAGGCTCTGCATTGCTACTCCTGTTGCTGCTGTCAGTGGCCTCTTCTGGGTACTGGGAGAGGGAAGGGGCGGGGAGGATCTTCGTATGGGCCTTAACTAAGGGCTAGAAACTACCTGGTACCTAAAGGTTTCATTTGGGATCAGATTAGAGGCCTAAGCGATCCCTGTCTTCACCACTCCTTTTTATAGTAATCCCACTTGGAGGACTACCTCTGTTAGGGGTCTGAGTTCTTCCATACCATCTACTGTGGATCACAGGACCCTCTGCCCCCTCCTCTGACTTTCTCTGTTCTTCCCCTGGTCAGTGGCCATGGTGGATCTCCTCTGCCATGTTCTGACTCTGGATGCTGTGAGCATGATACTGGCCAAGGGAGCAGAGGACATGAGGGACAGAAGCAGACTCCTGGGGCTCAGCTTTCTTCCTCTGCATCATCTTGGGCTTAGGGGGGTCTGGACAGCACCCCACCAGCAAGAGCTTGAGGGCCTACAGAGTTGTAGGCCTCACCCTCTGGCCGCTGGGCCATGCACTGTGTCATTCTTGGTGCCATCTTCCCCTGCCATGCTGGCAGTCTGGGCCCAACCTCCACCTTTGGTTTGTAGGTTGGAGTCCCAAGCAACACAGACCACTCTTCCCCCACCTTCCCCCAGAGGGACATGACTTTCTTTTTGGACTGTTTGTATTGAAACAAAGTGGTGTCAAAATAAAGCCCCCATGGGGCCCTGGGTCCCATTGGTCTGAGCATGGTCGTGTCCTCCCTGGATCTTGCCTCCTTGCTCAGTGTAGGCCCCTCCCTTCACTCTCTGGGCTCCCTCTGATAAGGGTAGGGCATTGGTACTGAAGCTGAGGGCACTCTGTTCAGAACCTATGGCTTGTCTCTGAAAGCCAAAGGCCCCTGGCTCCTTGGCTGTGTGCTGCTGTGATGTCCAGTGCAGCCTCGACCTCAACACTCTGTTGCATGCAGAGAAAAAAGCTGGTTATTACGAGCTCAACAGCCCTGCCCCTCTTCACAATAGTAGCTTGACTGGGGGATATGTTTCTGAATGGAGTTTTAAAAAATATTTAAAATAGGGCTGTGCCTGTGGCTCAAAGGAGTAGCACCAGCCCTGTATATCAGAGGTGGTGGGTTCAAACCCAGCCCCAGCCAAAAATTGCAAAAAAAAAAAAATTAAAATATTCAGACTTTAATGGAACCTTTTTACATTTAGGTAGAAAGGATGTGTGTTTGTGTATAACCCCCTGGCTGGGCCATCCTTTTCCCTTCTGGGGTTTCGGAAACACCTCTGTGCCACCTTTGGAGTCATTAGGGTACAATGATGAGTTACTGGTGTGGCAAGTGGATGATTAGGAAGGATGGGGAGGAGCAGCCATGGGGTTCTAAGCCAGTGACTTTTATTCCAAAGTGTAGGTCTGGGACTCCAACATCTGGAGCATTCATTAAAAACACAGATTTCTGGCCAGGCGAGGTGGCTCACACTGTAATCCTAGCAGTCTGGGAAGCCAAGGTGAGTGGATGACTTGAGCTTATGATTTCTAGACCAGCTGAGCCTGAGCCAGAGCCAGAACAAGACCTTGTCTCTAAAAAAGCAGCTGGGCATTGTGGCAGGTGCCTGTAGTCCCAGCTATTTGAGTGGCCAAGGTAAGAGAATCACTTTAAGCCCAGAAGTTTGAAGTTGCTGTGAGCTGTGATGCTACAACTTTCCCAAGGGCGACAAAATGAGACTCAAAAAAAAACAATACAGATTTCTGGACTCCATCTTAAGCTCGTGATTTGAGCTCTGGAGCTTGGTGATTTGAGTTGTCAAGCAAGCTTCCCTCTGATTCTGATGCACACAGGATTTGAGAACTGTTCTCACCAGGTGGAAACCGGAGATGATTGTGGACTGGAGCTAGGACTGGAAAACCCAGTCCTGGCTGAGGCTCTGCAGAGCTTTGGGAGCCAGTTCCTATAATTATCCAGTGGGGCTGGGGTTGCCTCTGGATGAGCCCAGGAAAATGTGTGTGATCAGTTGTGATGATACCTGGTTTTAGAGGAAGCATGTTCTGCTTGGACTCCCTGAGCAGGTTTTACTTTCTGGAGAATCTCCCCACCCCACCCCCAGTTCAAGGAAATTGCCTTGTCCACAGCTGTAGATCACCTGCCCTAGGTGGTTGGTAAATGTTTAATGAAACCCTGGCTAGAAGGCTATGCTAACTCTTTGTGGCCAGGGTCTTTAAAGTTAGGGAAGTTGGCACTGAACCTTCTGAGCTTATTTCCAGAAGGCCTGTTCCAGCTGTTAGCACCTTATTAGGCTGATCTTAGCTCCTCAGTATGTGAGGCAAGTCTCCAGGTTTGACTGGGCCACCGACCCCCACCTCCTGCCCCTGCCAGATAGGCACCAAACTCTCAAACTCACCCCTTTCCCTATACACCTTTGGCCTAGTAGCTTTTATTTTTTTGAGAAAGAGTCTCACTGTATCATCTTTGGTAGAGTATCATGGCATCACAGCTCACAGCAACCTCAAACTCTTGGGCTTAAGTGATTCTCATGCCTCAGCCTCCCAACTAGCTGGGACTACAGGTGCCTACCACAATGCCCAGGTCAGGTTTGAACCTGCCAGCCCTGGTATATGTGGCCAGTGCCCTAATCACTGAGCTGTGGGCGCCAAGCCAACCTAGTGGCTTTAGACTTAACCATTTACCTGACACAAGAGACTTTATTCATTTCATGTATTAAACTCTTAGACACAAAGGAGATTTGAAGCGGGTTTTGAAAGTGAAAGTGTCTTCTTGCCCACCCTTCTCCATCCTACCATGGCTACTGGCTGTTCCTCTAGCAGAAGGCCACAGTGGTTATGTCCTGCCAGTACTTGAATCTCTGGTGTCACCATTGACCATGCAAGGCCTTGCATGGCTATTCATGTCCCCACCCTTAAGGTTCATTTCACAACAACTTCCTTATCAGGGGGCTAGCAGAGGTTGGTTGAGACTGCTTTTCCTCAGAAGGTTAGGCCTATTAACAAAAGGCTAAAGGCCAAGTTCCCTCCATGGTGATGAAGTGACCTCAATACAGTCTGTCAACCTGGGGCTTGGCATGCCCCAAGGTTGACAGGGCCCAGGAAAGCATGCTGTTAACTTTCTAGTGTCACTGGCTTGGCAGATCAGCACCTCTCTGGCAGGTCTTTGGGCTGGGGCTGTTACTCAGCCTTTTTGCCAGCAGAGGGCAGCATGGTAGGGTGCTGGAGAGGAGGCTGGGTGGGAGCACCAAGGACTGGCATGGGGCAGGGTAAGGGTGCTGTAGGCAGGAACCTCAGACTCCTCAAGTCTCGGACTCATCTGTCTCTTCAGTGGAGCCATCGCTCTCTGCGTCAACTTTTCGGGAGTGATGGAGGGGTCTCCAGGGGGATCCAACCCGAGGAGGGGTCCGGGAAGGCAGGCAGCTGGCCTCTGGACTGGCAGTGACCGAGTTGACCAGACCTGGGACCTGGACCAGCCTGAAGGAGGGAGGAAAAAATGCAGAGGGCAATGAGGTGCCTCCTGGTCAGAGACTAGGACCTCCATGCTCACTCTTGCGCTTGGGTGAACCCATGGGCTATAGACCCAAAGGACTGGAAGAGGATACCTCGGGCCTCTGCTGACCTCCAAACTCTTTCCTGACCAATGCAGAGTGTCGGGTTGCAGCCAAAGTACTGCTGACCCAACAGGGTACAGCTATGTCTGACTATGGCTTGGCCCCCACAAGGGGGCAGCATCTTCCCACTTGATACTTACAGCCGTTCCAGCTCTTCGTCCATGGCTGGGTCGTGCATCAGATCCCCTTTGTCAGGCAAAGCTCCTAGGAGATAAGTGGAGACACAGAACTTAATCTGAGGGTACCTCAGCCAGGCAGCAGATGCCTCCATCCCCGTCATCTTCACTCTGCTAATCCTGGGAGGGCTGATCTAAAAGATCTGAGAACTGCTAAAGGAGACAAAAACAGTCTGGGAGTAAGAAGTCCTGGGTGCTGCATGATAAATTTAGTGAATCCCTCTTCCTACTCTCCCCTACTTGAGGCAGAGACTGGAGCTAAGGAGACATCCACAAATAAACAGGCGGATGCCATTTCAAGACTGGGCTGAGTTCTTCCTGAGGACCGAGGTCCTGAGCTGAAGGGATATGGCCTAGGCTAATCCTAAAGGTCAGAAGTTCATCTAATTTTTTGCCCCCAAATCAAGAATGACCCTACTCCAGAGACATGGTAAAAAGTGCTGGTTCTACTCTTCCAGGTAGGGTTTCAGGGGTGAGAAGAGAAGGCCAGGGTCAGATGAAATTATTTTGCATGGCCAGAAGGAGAGCTTTCCCCCATCTCAGAAGTCTCAAACTCCCATCTGAGATAGCTGGTTTCCTTGGCTATAAACTAAGAGAAGTTAATTCCTTTCCTTTTTTGAGATAGGGTATCACTCTGTCACTCAGGCTGGAGGGCAGTGGCATGATCATAGCTCACTGCAGTCTTCAATTCCTGGGTTCTATGGGACACAGTTTGAACCCCCTGATAAAGTTCATTTCACAGCACCTCTGTACCCGGCTAATTTTTCTAATTTTTTTTTGCAGTTTTTGGCCAGGGCTGGGTTTGAACCCGTCACCTCTGGCATATGGGGTCAGTGCCCTACTCCTTTGAGCCACAGGCACCGCCCTTTTTCTAATTTTTTGTAGAGATAAGGTCTCACTATGTTTCCCAGGCTGTTCTTTTTTGGGGGGGATTAAAACCCAGGCTGTTGGCTTGGCGCCTGTGGCTCAAGTGGCTAAGGCACCAGCCACATACACCTAAGGTGGCAGGTTCAAATCCAGCCTGGGCCCGCCAAACAACGATGGCTGCAACCAAAAAAAATAGCCGGGTGTTGTGGCGGGCGCCTGTGGTCCCAGCTACTTGGGATGCGGAGGCAGGAGACTCGCTTGAGCCCAGGAGTTGGAGGTTGCTGTGAGCTGTGATGCCATGGCACTCTACCCAGGGGGATAGCTTGAGGCTCTGTC